ACAACCATCTTGCACCATTATACCCCAGAGAACTCCTGGAAGTATACTGTCCTCACAGAATCCTCCGCTCGCAAAAGCAACATTTCTTGTCTGTTTACGGATTGAATTTTTTTCTATTTCACAATAGTATATAAAAGGAACGGTTTTCCATGTTTCACTCAATCTGCTGCCACTGTCCCTTCTTTCAGATCACAGATGATCATTTGGCATAATAACTTAATTAAAGATTAATTGAGTCCTTCTTTGACGACATCCTTTGAAATCGGACGCCTGTATCCGAGGTTAGGACTTAGGTGGTAAAACATGGAATGTGTAATGACGACCCCAAACACGAAATATCTAACTCATCTATTCCCACAAGCAACATTGTCATTGGCGTTCATTGTTTATCAATCTGGTCTGAAGTAAACAGAAGCAGTATCGTGTAAGATATGTTGAAATTCATGAAACATCACCAAGTAAGTCTCCACTTTATCGTTAGATCTATACTAGTATCTAGTAACATAGTTTCTTTAGAGACTGGTGTGTTTGGTGAATGATGAAAGGGGATGTTTATCGTACAGTTAAACGCTGCAGGGAATGTGCAGCCCCGTGTGTTATATCCTCTCTGGGGTGCTTTTTGTGCGATAAACAACCCCATCGCCACACAGTTAGCAAACCTACCATCATTTACAGACTTTTCAATGAGAAACGTATTAAAACATTGATGCCTCCCTGAATACAACCCAATTATATAAACAGTTTGGTGATTTTTTAAATATCAATCTATGTAAAGGTTGTTACATTTGCCACAGTTGGGGGCGATCTTTGGGCTAATGCGTGCACCTGCGTTTTCAAACTTTCACGTTGCACACACACACGAGCGCGCGCACATACGCACGCACGCAAGCACGAACGCACACACACTAACATGTATGCATAACAGCCACATAATTTTGATGTTTTTGTTGTCAGTATCAGAGGTTCGTGAAACATGGTATCTGGTGAAATATCATACAATATACACTTGGCCCTTTATTATACTACTTTCACTGATATACAGTATTGTGAAACTGTGTTTTATCTCAACACAAATCTAAACAGTATTTTTCTTATATTATTATATCGCGCTCAGAATCCTAAAAGTGTTTAGATCTTGGAGGCGCAGACAATTTGGATTACAAAACACGTTTTAAATTAGCTGAACACGCTTTTAAAGTAGACAAAGTACTTGAACATGGTCCAAGAGGAAATCATTTCTGTATCAAAGGACTGACAATGGAATCAGCACATCATACATCAAAGTGTTAATTCCTTACAGTAAATAATGAGCACAACTCCTTCTCAGATCCTTATTGACAAAGGTTAATGGAATATGCCATGTGCGTTGGGGATAGACGTCAAGCAGTACATTCTACATTGCCAGTGAAGTACTTATGTACACAAACAGTCTTAATACGACATGTATGTGTATATTTTCTCATAGCTATCATAATTATAAAATCAGCTTCGGACTTTGGCTTTTTGTTCTCGAAATATAATGTAGGGATTACGACAGGAAAATCTATTTTGAGCTGAAAACTTAATAGTGTGTTATGGTTCAGACGATTCACAGAATTGATCAATTTGAAATAAAATCGGCAGAAATCCGCGGATCGGCGGAACATTTCCATCCCTGATATTACCGTGTTTTATTGTTTATCACGACTCTGTCTTCTCACTTTCTTTCCATATATGTTTCCATGACACTTAGCTCATCACAAGTTTGGTGCAAATTCTACGAACGTCAGAAACAGTGAAACTTACGTAATGTATCTGTCCAACTAATATAGTTCAGCACCTCCGTACATTTCAGAAAGTTGTATGCAAGCACAGCACGTTGGTAAAGCTGCATCTTGTTTTTCTGTAAACTCATGTCTTGACTTCAGGAAAATACATAAAGGATATTTCCCTTCAGCATTTTAATAATGGGTATGGCACAAATGCACAAATGATCAGTTTTGAATCAAAATTATTTTTATTTGTAACATGGGATAGATATCACTATCTAGTGTAGTCTCCACTTGCTTGATAACTGCCGGTAGTCTACGCCGCATATCCCCCGTCAGTTGTATCCGTTTCAGAGGAAACTGTGAAAAGCTCTTTTCACATCACGCCGATTTTGAACCAGTGGTACACGTGCTTGTTTAGTCGCCTCATAAAGTCGAAAATGTGCTTTAGGGGGTTCAGGTCTGGTCTCATGGCGAGCCACGGAAGGTGAGTCACTGCATTATTCTGAATAGAAGCTCAAACTCGTGGGAACGGTGTGGACTAGCTCATAAATACATGTTTTGTAACATGAGGATGAATATCGAATGGGGAACAACTGGATCCAACACCCGTAAATTCCCACGTATTATCACCAAGTCATCTTTACGTTCACAGGAGACACATTCCCCACACCATGACGGAACATCCACCAAAGGCAACATTTGTTTGAATGTGTGCTGCTGGCAATGCTGTAAGTCCCTGCCTCCAAACTCTCAAACCATCAATAACGAAAAGATATAGGCTTTAATCAGACCAATGTACTCTTTGCCAAGTCCTCCCATTCCATCGTTGCCTTGGTAAACACAAAGCCAAACGTGTTTCTGGTGATGATACCCAGTAGAGGACATTTAATGAGTTGTACCTGGCGATTCTCCTCAGTCGATTTCGGACTGTTGTCGAAGTGACCCGGCAAAATGTTAACCAGTGGCGCTTCAGAACAGTCCTTGTGGCGAATGGGTGTCGTCGAGTGAGGCTCAATAGTGTCCTGTCGCCTCGATCTGACGTCACACTGGGTCATCTTTCCACTCATTGGTTTCCCTGTATTTTCTGATCAAACGACTTACAAATTTGTAGAGGACATTTCATTCAAGGACATGAGTTATGCATACCAATAATTTGCCATCTGATAATCTTCTTTGTACTATAGTGGCAGCAAGAATGATTACACTTGCGCAAACTGCACTTGTGGGTTTGATTCTGGCCATTCTATAACACACAAGCTGAAACTGAACATTGTTCTGTCAGCGATCAACATATTCAAGGTTGCTTTATTTTTTCCAGGTATATATTTCGTTTAACTGTTAACCGAGACATTTGTCATGTTCCTGAGTTAATATCCGTTTCCATGACACATTAAAACGCATGAGAGAGTGTACGGAAGTGTAAAATATACAATTACCATATATCTAAGAATTAATTAATGGAAATTATTAGACGATGTTGAAAATAAGTTACAAGCATGATCCAACGCGTCTTCAAATAGCACCGTTGTTGCGCAGTCAGCTTTGTGTGCAGACTCCATGAATACGTGCAAACACCTAGTTGCGGGCACAGCAACGTGCAGTAAAACTTGGACAAAGTACTGTGACTATGTGTCCCAGTCCACCCAGCTGTGAATGGGTACCTCGTGAGGATGGGAAAGCCACATTAACTCGGTGCGCCTAGTGGTTTCACGAGTTGTATGATCATCAGGGAGTTGAGATTGAAAATACGATGTGCCAATGAGATGAACATCCAATGATCGTGGGAAAACAAAGCGCTTTGAGCTTGCATGTAGATCGGATGGAACATAGCGCGATACAAATACCCATATAATGACAATAATAATAAAGTAGAAATACTTCTAGGGTGAGTACTTCAAATGTAGGATACTACGAACATCAATGAAATTACGTTTCGTAGACAATATTTATTTCATATTTCATTGTATGCAATCACTTAACTTGTCCTTGAGAAAAACCATTATGCCACCGTCTTTTGAATAAACGAAACAACGCAACAAACACACAAATGAAAACCTCTCCAGATGGTCAAATGGTCGGTCTTCTGAGAGAATGGAAGGCAGTCAGTGACTGTCATTGAAGAAAACAATCCAATGTTTGCATTATTTGGGTAAAAAAAGTAGGATGTCAAATAAAAGCGACAAATGCTTTCCTTAGTCTTATAGAATCTGCAAATTGCAGGATGGATTTATGATTTCGACTACTTGTTTGTCTTGAGCACATGTTCATGAATTGCTATCCAAAATTGACGATATCAGGTGTTCACATACATGTGAGCATGAACTGCCACAACGGTTAGCCATGACAAATACATGGCAAGGCAAGGCAAGGCAAATGTTTAACTGCAACAATACAGCTATATATGGCACAAGTTAAATGATGTGGAACATCGGGCATCATGTCTGTCATTCACGCATCCTTTATTAACAAATGTCCACCGCCTGTCTACCACAAATGTAATCCCAAGTGTAATCCCAAATATAACATATGTAACATTTGATCACTTTCTAAACTGGCATTGTGTATTTCACAAATGTTTGGACAACTACAGTTAGGATTGGAATGTTGACACCTTGATGAAACAACCTTCGAGCAAAAGCTGCCTGGCTTTTGAAATCTTCGAAGACAGAACATTGTTGATTGCACCTTAAAAGGTGTGAATTGTGGAAACAAAATTTGTATGCGGCTGTTATGTTGTTCGAGGTAAATTAAAGGTTGACGTTGAAACGCTGAAATCATCTCTCTGGACATACACCTTTGTGGATAGAGTTTGTCACTCTCAATCCTTATGCAATGATCTTAATATGTAACGGAAGACCGGTTGTACTGGGAATTGTATATTGCTTTTTATTGACAAGTTACTTGGATTTATCTGAAGTCTTCTGCAAAATTGATGTTTTACGTTTTCAACATGAATTAAAAAGTCTTCAAAAAGTATCATACACACCTTATTTATATTTGAAGTAAAAACGATTTACCAAGGAGAACCGTATATCGACATTTTAAATAAATGAAAATAATGTTGGATGAATTTCCAAGGTGACTCTTAGTTATTGTGTTACCAAACAGACATATATAGATCATGTAAACCTTATTCAAAACGACATACAGAATAAACAAACACCTGAAAGACAGTGGACATGGGAATATGAATATGGAAAACGTATGACTGCACAAACGAAACTTTAAAAGTTGAAGTTTTCTACAAACCTGGATGACGCCTGACTGTGATGTCTCCAACGGGAAAGCCAGACGCAATAGCGCACACACAGGCAAGGATTGCACAGATTCTGATAGGTTTAATCATCCCGTGGTTGACGGGTGTTGGCCGGGCTTTCCTGTGTACAACCCGCATGCCCAGCCGAATATCACCGCCGTACTTTGCTAGTGGACGACCTCTCTTCACTGCGTCTATTTATCAATTCATATATGTGTAGGTGCGGTGACGCGCCACACGCACTGCATCCTTTACGCGCGTCGTACACTACTACCGCTTTCAACCAAGCAACGGTCTGTCTGCTCTTATGGTGACGTAGGTCTAAAATGCATGTGATAGGATGTCAACAAGTCCGTCGCGCCTATCTCCAGCTGACGATTGTTGACAATGCAATTGTTCCGCTATTGTTATGATTCCAGCAAAGCGCGTTGGAGAGTGGAGGGCTCTTATGGCGGGGGTTGTGTGGTTGTGAAGCATCGGCTTTAAGGCAGTAATCAATCACGTTCCTAATATATCTGGTCTCGTTTTTCAAAGGATGCCCGAAGATAACGAGGCTGATCGGAAACTTTGGTTTTGTATTGCATTTTAAGGATTGAAGCTGGACTGATCGAAACGGGACAGCATGTGGTAAAGAAACTTGCACGATTCCCAGTTAGGTCTAAAAACTGCGTCCATAAGTGGCGTTTTGTCTCGCCTCAGCTTCCTTTGAAATCGTCATGGGACATTTGTACTTAAAAGTAAACAAACCGAAAATACACATTCAACAGACATGTATTTTCCACTCATGTCACACATAAAGAAGATGGTTATGATTCGGACATAACGTGACTCCATGTTCATAGATCCACAAATAACTTTTATCTGTTTCGGTAGTATGGGCAAAATCTGTTAGGAACTATTGACCCAAAATTAAGTTTATTCAATATCAATATCCGTCTTGTGGAAAACCGTACCGCTTTGAACGGGGACATGATTACATATTGCACATGGTGGTATGGACCTGAAGCACTGCGCATGCGCAATGACCAAACAGCGTTGTTTCTTCAGACTCGGTGATCACCATCAGGAAGAAGGTGTGTGTGTCCTTCCTAGTACATCTGCTCTTCCTAGTACCATTTGCACTACCTAGCTTGCGTACGCTCCGTTAATGTAATATGAATGTGTTTCATTGTTTTGCACATGTATTTGATTTACTCTATGTCATGTATATGACTCATGAGAATAAACTTTGAATTGAATTGAAAATAGTACCATGACAAATAACTCCTACTCTGTAACCCTCAAGTCCCAGGGGATTCCTGGTTAGAATAGTTGTCAGGAACGTATTCTTGTCGTTCGAGGCGCCTTAATGAACCATGGAGCCATGCCACTGAACAAACTTAGCGCCAAAGTGGTCGTACGTCGGAAGGTTTCCTCGTTACAACTTTGTTAAACCTGGCATCATCTTTCACAAAATCGTAATTCAAGCGATCTTAGCGCTAAGTATTCCGTAAAACAAAGCGGTACTGACTCTTTACAAGGTGGTCGTAACGCCAACACATTAACATAGACTTGCGAGGATTGAACGGGCAGTTTTAGATTTTGTCATGTCATCTGGAAGTGAGTATGTAAGTGAGTATGGTTTTACGCCGCTTAAATTAGCAATACTCCAGCAATATCGCGGCGGGGAACACCAGAAAAGGGCTGCACACATTGTACCCATGTGTGGAATAGAATCACGGTCTTCAGACGCTTTAACCATTAGGGTACCCCACCGCCCCTCATCTGAAAAATATGATGTAATTTAGATATGATCTCAAATGGCTCAGACAGATTTAGTTCGGGTTTTAATTATCATGCGAATGTACTGCTTTTGTATTGAATGAGTATTTCATGTTTCAGAAATGAAAGTGTATACTTAAGGTATTAATCCTTAATATCAAGCAGGGCTATTCTCATGGCTGTTCTATTTCCCCAGGATTAATTGTAGCTGTACTATCCAAATGAATATGAGCTCGGCTGTAGTGATCTGAACGCAGACAGATATAATCGACATATATCAGAAACAGCTAAGTGTTCATGTGGTCATTATAACGAAGACGTCATTCACTACCTTTTTACATGTCGGAACTATCAAAATTTTAGAACAACGGTGTATTTTTATATTCAAGGATACGATGTGAAAACTACCTTATACGGTAACGACGCATTGGATAACTCAACAAATTGTGACATTCTCAACTCATTACACCAGTTCATTTCTAAAAGTAAGCGCTTCCAGTGATTATCATCTCTACATATACATGTATATTCAATGCAAGAAAAGATTTATATAACTTGATTTTCTGCGGCAGCTCTTTTCGTTGCTAGGCACAACCAACACAACCAACACCATTTTTCAGAGTGTAATCTTGTCTCAATATAATTCTTTTCTTGTCCGTCTATTTCAAATATGTATCCAGCTATATTGGAACCGTGTACTGGAGCGGCATTTATATAAGCCACTAGGCTTGTTCGCCTATCCAGATTTCTGCATTGACGAAATAAAAATATGTTTAAACCAAATGAATATGAATAATGCTGACGTCTCTTTTAAGTTATGCAAACGATTCCTTTTGGTGATATGACACCTTGTGATATATATTTAATTCAAGTCAATGTGGCGGGCGCAAATAGGACACCTGTAGGCCCAAGTTGCCGTAAATCTATGACACCACCACAACAGCACGTTCATTTAAGAAGGTTAACCATTTATCTAAGATCAAGAGATTAGTCCTTCCAAACTTAAGCTTGTATCTGGAGTAAAGACGCTCTTTCTGGACAAATAATGCCAAAATGGTGCGGTAATTTACAATTTTTTTAAATATGTAATCTGGGAGACAGATTGGTCGTGTTTATTCACGCTCCTAGTCGTGTTTTGTAAAGACTTCATTTAACCATGTTAACTGTCCAGTGTCTTTTTATCATCATCAAAACATACGGATATTAAGTAAAACTCAACTCCAATAACAGCGATCTCTGGATTTACTCCCAATTTGCCAGTAGTTAATCCGACCACAGTTAACGAACGGGGGTAGTCCCGTAGGTTCGACCCTTGGGTTGAGGTGAAAATCCTTTGATGTTTGATGTTGTGACAACAGTGTTGTTTTAAGGAATTAAGACACTGGCATTCTACAAAATGTGAATGTGTCCACCCAGGAAACGAAGTATGGCATGTGTACATATAACATGTTTAAAGAAAATATAAGTTTTGAAAAATACCTTTATCTACCAAAACACGTCTATTACCCAATCTTGAAATTTAGAACAACAAATCACAACTTACCAGTTGAAACTGGACGCTGGTCTGATACCCCAAGAGTGGAACGTTTGTGCCATCTATGTAATTCCCCGGCGGTTGGTGATGAGTTCTACTACCTGTTCAGGTGTGAAGCCCTTCTCCAGCCGCGGTCTATACACATACGTCAAGATCTCTACGAATGGCCTAATATGTTCAAGCTAAAAAAAATGTTTATCTAGCACCAGAGGAAAAAATGTGAAAGACCTGTCTAAATTCATCAACATCATCTTCAGACTAGTTGCAACTGCATGAGAATCATGTTAACTTACTTTGTCATATTTCACTGAAAATTTCACTATATATATATGTGTTTACCTTATATTGCTGTCATCTTGATTGATTATATTATCATATGCGAATTTATATTGTACTTTTCTCATGTACCACCGTTGGTGGGTTCTCTTGAGAATAAACTGTCTGTCTGTCTGTCTGTCTCTACAACAGAGTGAGTGAATCTCACTCAATGACTTTGATTATGTTGACTAGCGGCGAGTTATTCAATTTCTTACATGCTATAAGAAGGTTGGAAATGACAATTGTCATCTGCATTTCCAAAACTTCAGTTATGGCAAATGCACAATTTGACTACAAGATTCTTCCTACTTCTCGTGGTGGAAGATACCTATGTGCAAATGGTTATATGTACATTCTGAAAAAGAGGAAAAGGGAAGAATGGATCTCGATATGCCTCGAGATCAGAGACTGAGTCAGGTGGTGGATTAAAAGGGACCTGGAAATAGGCAGCTTGAACCATTTCAACACTGACGGCCCCCGCACGAACAACATCTTCGAGGGTTAGCATGGACGTCTGAAGAAGGTGGTGGGAAAACAGCATCCCAACCTGTTCGAGATGGCCAAGTTCTTGACAGACGAACAGGGTCTGAATGAGATAAGGTGGTTAATATAATGCCGGCCAAAGACTGCACCCCCACCCCCAAAGAAGAAATACAGAGAATTGGAGCGACGATTGGACACACTGAAATTCAAGCTTGCAAGAAACGACTTGACATTGATACAGTACCTAGACAATGCGTTCTATTCTGTTAAGTTCTTAAGCTCGTGATTCTTGGTTCGGTTATATATTCTAGTGCTATGAACTATATAAGTTAAACATGTAAAATTATATTATGTATTGTATGTTATTTTATTTAAAGACATCTATCAACTTTATTTATATGTATAGCAATTACTGCCCCAATGAATGCACAAATAAAAAAGGTCCGGGTTAGAATGAGCCTTCAGTAACCCATGCTTGTCGTAAGAGGCGACTAACGGGTGGTCAGCGAATTCCCGGCTGGGTCGTAACACCGATAGTCTCCCCCTCTCCCCTTAGCTAACACCGCATAGGAGATGTAACGAGATCACAGGTCAGGCATGTACTGGTCAGCTGTTTGGCCGCTGGCCTGATAATGGGTGCAGGATTTAAACATACTCTTCAAATTCTGACACTGTGGCTTTCTGCTATGGTCTGATTAGGTCAAGAGTAGGATGATCCTGATGACCACTGCACGAGAGGCATGTGGGTTGTGGACGAGGTTCCACATGGTCTTGCCATATTACCATTTTAGGAATACAGTCGGAGATATAGTCAAATTAATGAGCTCTAGTGAGTTAGTTTGGAACTGGGAGCTGAGCACTAAGCTCCTAGTTAAACACATCTCACAATAAAACGTTGTGGACCCGCAGACGGACTTGTATGGTCACTTTGAGGAATATCCTAACGAATATCGGATTATAATTAACACCCTAATTAGCGAGGTCATGCCTGGCTGTTTATTGCCAGTTTCTGAGCGTGGTGACCCGTGAACAGTGTTCACCACATGCAAAACAATTGCAGTCAATAAGTGTTCACAATTTGTAGCTTCAATTATCAAATTCTTATGCTGTCTCCCACTTAGTGGGATTGTAAATATTTGTATTGTCTTTGTATTTGATTAAATGACAGTACATGGTTATAAGTTATGTATGTTTCACTTATTTATCAGACAGAAAGTGTGACATTTATTTATCTGTAACTTATAACAATAATCAT